AAAACTTTTACGTTATCTCAAAACTTTTACGTTATCTCAAAACTTTTACGTTACCTTGCAACACTTTTACGTTACCTCACAAAACTTTTACGTTACCTTGCAATACATTTACATTAATTCGCAACACTTTTACGTTACCTCACAAAACTTTTACGTTACCTCAAAACTTTTACGTTACCTCACAAAACTTTTACGTTACCTTGCAATACATTTACATTAACTCGCAACACTTTTACGTTACCTCACAAAACTTTTACGTTACCTCAAAACTTTTACGTTACCTTGCAATACATTTACATTATCTTTGAACACTTTTATATTACCTCGCAATACTTTTACATTACTTCGCAATACATTTACATTATCTTGCAACACTTTTATGTTGCCTCACTTTTACATTACTTCGCAATACTTTTACGTTACCTTGCAATACATTTACATTAACTTGCAACATTTTACGTTACCTCAAAACTTTTACGGTATCTCAAAACTTTTACGTTATCTCAAAACTTTTACGTTACCTTGCAACACTTTTACATTACCTCATAAAACTTTTACGTTACCTTGCAATACATTTACATTAACTTGCAACACTTTTACGTTACCTCAAAACTTTTACGTTATCTCAAAACTTTTACATTACCTTGCAATACATTTACCTTAACTCGCAACACTTTTACGTTACCTCACAAAACTTTTACGTTACCTCAAAACTTTTACGTTACCTCAAAACTTTTACGTTACCTTGCAATACATTTTACGTTACCTCAAAACTTTTACGTTACCTTACAATACATTTACATTAACTTGCAACACTTTTACGTTACCTTGCAATACTTTTACGTTACTTCGCAATACATTTACATTACCTTGCAACACTTATGTCATCTCACAAGACTTTTATGTTATTCCACAAAACCTTTATGTGACTTCGCAATACTCTTTTTTTGTTACCTTGCAATAAGCTTACATTTGGATGTATAAACAGTATAAAACATGTAAAGAGAACCAAGATCAAAAGAAGTATTAAAGCTGCATTAGCCAGTGGCTAATTAAGGTCACCATGGTAACTGCACACTTGTGTCTTTCACTCACTGACAAACAAAAACAGATTGAAAAGTAGGCTCAATTGAACAGTTCCTGCATGTTAAAAACTACAAGTCAAATAMKAGTGTGGGTGTGTGCTCTTTGTTTMGATGGGTATTTGAGAGAAAACCATAAGTCCTGCAGCAGTGAGAGACACACTGAGGAACAGAAGACAAAAGCGCTACATGTTCTGATGTATAACTTGTACAACAAAAAGACGTGTGGGAGTAAGAACAGTTTGTTTGCCAAAGATCTAAAAAGCAGATGTGAGAGACGTCAGTCAAATGAGATTCTATACCTTAAAAAAAGGTTTTGATTCAAATGCCGCGTCTTGAAATAACCGAGCACGGGGGGGYAAAGGCACAATCTGAGTGGCCTTCGTGAGTCAACAGGGACATGTCAAAGCTAATCAGTTTAAAAGCTAAGAAAGACAAACATTATTCACCATCGTCAGCTGCCCTACATTTTATCAGTCAGGACTTCATGAATATAAACTTTCAGAGCTGACGTTCTGCCAAGTTTAGACACTGTTAGCTACAGCCTCTATCACTGGATCGGCTCTTATTTTCCTGAAACATTTTGTTCTCAGCTTGTGCTTCTCTGTTTACATTGTGAACCACAAATTCATAAAGAAATACAGCTACCAACTGTAGAAAATGTAAAGATGCTTTTAAAAAGTGTAACGTCGCATTGGATGCTCCTTTTGACTTTCAAATCTTTTTTGCTTTTTAAAGGAGACTCCAAACTTCATGTCTGTTTTTAGATATTCCAGCCAAAATCCTATGAAACTTACTRAAATGACTAAACGCCTCGTTATTTTTCCTTAACATCACACGTAAAGATCTGATTCTACTTTGTGTGCGTGTTCCTTTTATTAACCTTCAGATATTCAAAACCTTTCATGTCAAATTGCTTCACAGGGATGATTCAGTGCGTTCGGGGACATGAAGCTCCTTTTATTGTTTTAATTAGTCTACGGTTTGGATAAGTCCTTCTTGTGCACGAACAGGAAACCCATGCTCGAAACCAATATCAAATAAAAGTCATTACAGTTGATGTGTTGAAAACTAATATTTCATTTTCATCCAATTACAGCCAAACAAGGAAACGTAAATTTAATTCCCCTCCTCACAGTTTCTCCATTTAGCCATAGACGGAGATTAGAGTGCCGTCTTCTGGGATCGCTAGATCATTTGTCCACGTTTTTATCTGCTTATGTGTCATTCCTCTTGTGTTGTGCACAGCAATATATAGAACTTTGTTACWGTTAGTTTGTGTTCATGCTGATCGGATGGCGCAGGATGTGCTCTGTTGCTGCTCAGCAGTTAAATTTGACAGTACGTTAATGTGCGCTGTCATTAGAAATATTACTGGGGACATTTTAGGAGGATGTCTGGAATTTACAAAGATTAATGCTGAATAAGATAGGATTAATACCATAATTATGTCTTTTACATAGAGCTACAGAACTGAAGGCAGGAAGCCTAGCATCACACTGACATTAGCCTTTTAAGTGATGCTAAGCTAATTCTCTATAGTTAACTTAGCACATAATCCTAGCTTTTTATGTGCTGCTAAGCTATCTGTCTATAGTTAACCTAGCAAGACATAAATGTTAGCGTTTTTTGTGTTGCTAAGCTAAAGTTAGCCTAGCAAGAAATAAAATGGCTTTSTTTRAATTCAGGGGTTGCAGCCCATGAACGGCGCACTTGTCGTCTGCTTACATCACTGCACCACGCCATAGGCTGTCCCAATTTGGGATTCATGCGGCTGACAAAACCCTAAAAACGTAGGGTGCATCTTTGCAGCGACGATATCCCAGGATTCATTGCGTCATCAGCAGACTAAATTGAAAATTGAAGACAGTGGAGTTTTGTTTGTTTACGAGTTCGAAAAATGGATCACGAACCAAATAAGTGGTTTTTGAATGAATTCAGCTGATGAAAATTGTGCCGCAATGAAATGTTAAATATACCAAGTACTGAAACTGAATCTGAATTAAAATGGTTGTTTATTTATGTGTAACGTTTAACAATGCTGCATTTTGTGAACTTCTACCTTGCGTGAAAACGTGAATGCATGTTCCAGTGGAAGGCATGTGATAAAAACGGGGCAGCCTAGCAAGACTACTTCCCTTTTTTAAACTAGCTTTTGTTTTTTTCTCTGTTTAGGTGTCTCAGTGAGTGTTTCCACCTTCAACCTGGTGGCCATTTCTTTGGAGCGCTACAGTGCCATTTGCAACCCGCTGACCTCCAGGACGTGGCAGACAAAATCCCACGCAGCGAAGGTCATCACTGCCACCTGGGTGGCGTCCTTCATCCTGATGCTGCCTTACCCCATTTCTAGCACCCTGAAGCCCTTCACCCGTCTCAACAACAGCACCGGACACATGTGCCGCCTGGTGTGGCCCAATGATGTCATCCAACAATCCTGGTGAGCTGAAAAGAAGTTCACTGGGGGACAATCATACCTCAGATGTACTGAGACACGGTGGGCAGCAAAAACAACTTGTTTCAYATGGCCACTTAATTGAATTTCTCACTCTGGTAAAGAAGGTGTGAGACAYACACATGGGGAAAAACAGCACACCTAAAAGGCTGTTGACCTGCTCGGTGCGTCATGTCGGTTGATGTTCAGATGATGCTTTAAAACTGCTTAGAAAAGATGTCTGATTTTCTCAATGGGTTMTCATTGAAATGTGTCTGTTGTAGGTATGTGTCTCTGCTGTTGATCCTCTTTCTGATTCCGGGCATTGTCATGATGACAGCCTACGGACTCATCTCCTTGGAGCTCTATCGGGGAATCAAGTTTGAGATTTCTAACAGAAAATCGAGCAGAGGTAAGAAAAATCGAAACAAGAATGTAAATAATTTTACATGCTAACATCAACTGTTTTACTGACACAATAAGAATTATGAAATGTGAATATGATGTAAAACAGTTTTTATCAGTCTCAAATAACTSCAATTTGCAGACTTGTAGCGTACAATAAAATGTATACATTTTTGTCTTGATGGTAAAATTTGACAAAATGAGACAGTTTGTGTAATTCATCTTTGATTTTAGTCACAATACAGTTTTAAAATTATATTTGCTCTTAACAATTATGCAGGAGTTGATGGAGAGTTTGTCTAGCTGTTAGCATGACAGCCAAAAAAACAAAAGCGGGAAATAGTTAAAAGTTAAAATTGTTAATAGTTAAAAGCCCTTGCAGTTATGTGTACATTCTAGTTGGTAATATATATGATTACTGCATTCAATCTAGTTGTTTATTTAAATCATCTTTAGCACCATCCAAACTTTAATTGTCCCCAAAATCTTTGAATAATAAACAAGCACACGCTAAAAACATTGTATACCATTTTGTCTTGATGGTAAGATTTGACAGAATGAGATCTAGTTTGTGTAATTCATCTTTAATTTTAAAGTCATAGTACAGTTTTAAAATATTACATTGCCTATTAACAGTTATACAGGCCTAAACTGTCTGAGCTGACAGATAGTCTGTTTAGCTGTTAGCGTGACAGCTAAAAAAGGCGGGAAATTTCTAAAAACATTTGCAGTCTTGTACCTTCCTGAGGTAAATAAATACGATTTCTGCTTTAAGTGTAGTTYTTTATTTAAATAATCTCTTGATAARTTAAGCTGTATTCAGCCCCAAAAAGTTAGTTMAGTTTTAAAACTTTATCTATAAAAATATGCTAAAATGCCAAGAAACATAAAAAAGAACCCTAAGGTCCATGAGTTTATTAGCAGTCTGAAAGTCTGTGAACACTGGTTGCCCATCTTTCAAATGCCAATATTATTATAATGTCAAGTAACTCAATGACTGTTGAGAGCTGAAACGTTTTCTCTTTTTCCTTCCTGACAGACAGACAATCCAGTACTGGCAGCATCAAGCCAGGCGACAGCGATGGCTGCTACTTGCAGCCGTCTAAAAGGAAAAGCCTAACAGTGGGTATGGGCATATCCCCCAACTCTACCAGCGCACCCATGGTGGGCCGGGTGTGCAGCAACACCTCTACATCCAACCTCATGGCCAAGAAGCGCGTGATCCGCATGCTCCTGGTCATAGTTTTCCTCTTCTTCCTGTGTTGGACGCCCATCTTCGTGGTCAACGCCTGGCAGGCTTTTGACCAACGCTCAGCCCACCGTCTGACGGGCGCTCCCATTTCCTTCATCCARCTGCTGTCCTACACCTCGGCCTGCGTCAACCCCATCATCTACTGCTTTATGAACAAGCGCTTCCGTCAGGGCATGCTGGCCACCTTCACCTGCTGCCGCTGCTCCAGGAGAAGGAATCTCGCGAGCGTCAGCTCACTGAGGTCGGCGGGGAGCAGAATCACCAAAGGGGAAGTGGGCAGATCCAAACCAGGGCCAAAGAGCCCCGAGCAGAACGGTCACACGCCTCCAAGTGGTGCCAGCACACGGTTCACCTACAGTGGCATTCGTGGGTCCTTGACTTGAATTTCAACACACCAGGCAAACACACGGCGCGCTGTAAAGTAAAAACCCCATACCACTACTTATAGGACTCAGTCTTGTCCGACTCTGTTGCTTTTATCTCTGTGACATAACATTGGACAAATAAGTTCACGGCTGCTGAACGTTCAGTACTCTCACAGCAGYTCAGCAGGAACAGATGTCCCCTTCAAACTTTGCGCGTTCAGAGCGGTGACGGATGTGTTTCAGCCTCACGGAGCGTTGCAACGTGGAGGGTTCTGATGCAGCATTAACTGAGCCGAYGCTCAAGTATCTACAGATTTCACACTTCACACCGCGCTACCGTCAAACAATGCACCGCTGAGACCTTGTTCCCAATAATAAAACACRAAGAAAGGATTTTTGTAACTCAGTCGAACAAGGATGTTTTTTTTTTTAAAAACGATTTAACTGTGGCAGTTCTTGACATCAATCAGTTGCATATTTACTGAACGTCTGATTGAGTGGAAGTCGTTTAATGAAGTCATGACCCGCCTTCACTCCATTTCTGATCGACATTCCTTCACTAATTAATCTGATGCTTATGGGTTTTCTCCAGGTACTCTTTTCCTCCCACAGACCAAAAACATGCATGTTAGGTTCAYGGRCAGTTCGATATCGTCCCTGTGTGTGAGTAAGAGAATGAATGGTTGGTTGTCTCTATGTGTRCCTGTGATGGACTTTTGACCTGCCTGGGGTGTCCACTGCCTCACACACTGACTGCTGGACTTGACGCTCGCCCGCCATGACCCCGAAAGGAGAAGAGAGTAAAGAAAACAGATCAATGCTCATTTAMTCTTAAAACGGAACAGTTCAAGTCTATTTTTCTGCTTAAATCGTGCTAAAAAAGTAGACTGAGCGCTGAAAAGGTGATCATTTTGAAGTTTCTAAATAACCATTATTACGCTAAATGTATGCTAATTTGTTAAACCCTAAATTAACTGGATTTTTAACAGAAGTTGGGAGCTGAAGTGTGGTTAGTTTAAAGTGACCAGATATAAAATAAAATCTGGGGACATTTCCAGGTCACAGATAAAAAAAATAATTAAATGATATCAAGAAAAAATGAAGAAATGGGACAGCTTTATCTGGTCATCCTAGGTTAGCTTAGTGATTAGCAACCAAAAGAGCGGGAAAGATCTTTTCAGAATTCAGAGTAATAAATCAGCTTATCTGTCATCTTCTCTATAATTCARAGAAAACTAATTGTTTTCCAAAGTTCATATAATTTATCCAACACTCACTATTTAACCCCTAAAAGTCAAACTTCCGAACTAAAATCATTTAAAAGCTGAATTCAAGAGAACAATTAATGCAATTTGTAAATTACGTTTTACTCAGCAAAGATATGCCTTCACTGATAGGTAAACGCAGTCAGGAGCTTCAAAACGAAATCTCCGATAACACAAACAGTTCACGTCCTCGACCTTGTGTACGGACTTTGTGTGCACCGATGGGACTTTTGAGCTGGAGAGGCCTTATCGTTTCTGTGGGATTTTCAACACCTGCAGCTTCAAAGAGCCACTTCCTGCCATGATTCTTACTGTTAAATATAGCAGCATCCATGTAGCAACGTGTACCTGTTTTGTGTGTTTTTGTGTTAAAAATCTTGATGTTGATGCGTAATACTCTTAATTATTGTGTTTCTTACTGAAAAAAAAAAAACTGCAGGGGGATTAAGGACATGGCTGAATGTAAAAAGATAAGACTTTAAGAACATGCGAGCTGAAAAACTCCCGCTCCACAACCCATTTACTCAAAAACTGGCTGCTGGATGAACAAATAAAAGACCGAATGTCGACCCAGGGCGGGCAACGCTTTTAATAAGTTTCTAAAAAAAAAAAAAAACAAATGGAGTGAAAGGACGGGGACTTCTCACCCTGCAGCTACTGGAGATCCAAAAGTACTGAATGCTGTAAAAAGAAAAAGCCTGGGTCACTAGAAAAAGCCTGGGTCACTGGTTTCTACAGGTTTTTTAGCATCAGTGGAGCAAAAAAAAAGGGGGGGGGGGAGTAATAAAATGATCTAAATGGACAGAAACTCTAGACGGGACATCTCTCTCTATGATATCGCAAAAATGAGTTTTAGGAGGAGGGGGGGTGTCAACATGTGAATTAAGATTAAAAAATAGACCGAATGGACAGAGGAACTTCAGTGGAGACTTCTCACCCTGCAAACATTAGTGACATAAAAGTTAGGTTTATTCCAAAAGGGGACAACTGGGGTAACTTTTTATACATGTTTAGCAAAAATGGATCTAGAAAACAATAAAAAATAAAAAAGGTACTTCTCTCCAAGAGAACCAAGAGGACAGAATGATTCTAGTGGGACTTCTCACCCTGCAGTCAAACATGATTAACTTCAAAAAAGGGAACATCTTTGTTGCCCATTTATTTTTCAGAAACAACTGGACAAAAAATAAATTACGGATGAAAGGACTTCAGTTTTTTTTCTCCCCAAAATGGACCGAGAGTAGAGGAACTCTAGTAAAGACTTCTCACCCMGCCACCATTACTGGTGTAAAAATCTGGTTTACTCTAAAAAATGAATTGTCGAGGTAACGTTTTCTATACATTTAACTAAAACGGGTTTATAAATAAATAAAGGACAGAAGAACTAGTATTTTTTCTCTACTGGGACTTCTCACCTTGCAGTCAACAGTGATGAGAGCATAAATAACATAAAAAAGCAGGGGGATCACTTATTTGTATGTTTTTCTGGCATCGATATGGAAAAAAAACTACAATAAAAAACAAAACATAAAAAAAGTTTCCAGTTAAGCTTTAACCCAGATTTATTTTGACCAAACGGCAGCTGAATGGTGAATAAAAAATAAAAAAAGAAACAACACAAACCTTTTATTTCACTTTTTTTTTAATTTTCATTTTTATGCCAGTATTGCATGTTTTTTTTTCAGTTTTTTTCTCTTTTAAAAGACATACAGATTTGAGCATGATCTGGAGCTGCAATATGTACAAAAACAAACTAACGTATGTTATAAAAAAAAACGACAACAAAAGAATAAACCGTCCCCTTTGTTTTTGACATTATTGCTAAAATGTTACAAACGGCACAGGTTTCTAGAATCAGCAACCATTCGAGCACTGAGTATACTACCACAATGACACCTCTGCTTACCATTTTACTAGAATAATACACAGATCGAGTGAGAGAGAAGGTTAGATAGTGGAAGGACATGAAGGAAGAAGAAAACAAACGAGGACAAAAACATCAAAAATAAAACCAGGTGATGGGACTGTAGCGAAGCTTTAGCACAAACGGGCTTCGTGTTGAGAAAAAAAAAATCAAACGTACGAAGACACGAGCGATAAAAGGTGAGGAAAGTAGAAAGATTAGCGCTCTGTAGTGCAAACAGCCGAAATAGTCTTAAAGGAGAAGTAAGGCTGAGTGCGACAGAGAAGGGCTTTACACTCCTTTGTTTAAAGCTGCCTCTCACTCTGCCCTGTTTTGTTTTAGCAGTGCATGAAAACTACATTATAAAAAAGACATTTGGCATATTAGAGGATACATACATTGTTCAGGGCTCATAAAAAACACACGAACACAAGAACAGCTGCTTTTTGGAAGTGAAAAAAAAAATAACAAAAAAAGCTGTTAGGATATTCTGTAAAAAGCAAATGAGTTCTTAAAAAAAAAAAAAAAAAAAAAAAAACACCAGGCTGACATGAACCCAACGAGCACTTTTTCCTTTTTTATTCAGTTTTCTTCCAAAGGCGGCATGTAACATTTTGACCCTTTCGATCCCTTAAAACTCTCTGTAAACCAGCTCCGATTGTCGAGGCGACGCATTTATTAGTTCGTTTTATTTTTGTAGGGGGAAAAAAAAGGTAAGCATCGCCACTTTTCTTGGTTTGAACGAATGTGACAAAGACGCTCCTTTTTTTTTTCCTCGACGCAATGGGGAAAGAGATGACGAGGAGCCAGAGGTGGTTAGCTTCAAGGATGTGGAGAAAAAAAAACTACATAAAATTTAAATAAAAATCCCTCACCACCCAAAAATATCCAAGCTCAACTGACGTTAGCAAGGAGGATGAAGTGGGGGTGAGGCAGATGCAGAAGCTCTAAATAAATTTTAACTGTTGTTTCGAAGACAAGATGTATAAAATAAAATAAAAGTCARGTTAAAGATCTACAGTTAAAGATTTTCTGAGCTCCATCCTGCAGAGGAAACAGTTCAGGCTCGACGTGAAGTTTTTTGTTTTTTTTTTCGGTTCTGATGCTACAATAAAACTGCTGCTGCAGCACCTTGAAGTCCGGGACCGGAACGATGTGGCCTCTTTAAGACAAATAAAAACAAAAAACGAAACTCCCAAATCAACCCAGGCAGCACGGGCAATAAAGCACTTCTATTTTTTTTCCTTCTTTTTTTTTAGACATAAGAAAAGGGGAGAGACTTGTACCAATAATTTAAAAAATATCAATATTACAATATAAAATATTTTACATTAATGACAAACAAATGGGTATCAATGGCAAAATGGGGCATAACTTAAATTTCTTTTTCTTTTTTTTACATTAAACGAATCCTTTTCTCATTCCTATATCAAGGTTTAACAAAATTCTGAAATGCTTCAATTAAGCAGACATTCAACAGTTTTGTTTGTGTTTGTTTTCCCCTATAAGTGTYTACAGTCGTACTGTAATATAAAGGTCACACAGGTATTGCCTTTAAATGAACGTTTAGGATTTCGGTGGAAGACAGAAAACTTTTCTTTTCTTTAAAATGGAGCGAGTCTGACTCAATATTCCATCACGGTGACGACATGGAGAGAAAAAAAAAACGTAAGTGTTTGCTGGCTGGTGAACTAGTGCTCAGGCAGGACAAAATAAAAAGATTAAATGAAATGACCTGTACAATATTGCTGTTTATGTTTTCAATCAAGAATACACATTTAGATCAGAAGAAGGCCTATTTTCCCCACTCCTCCCGCAGGAGAGGCGATCGCCACGTTTGAGTGCAACGAGTTTGGAGTTCACGACAACGATGAAACCACAGGATGTTTTTTTTTTTAACTTTTAAACGAAGAATGTGAGAAATGAATTAGCCGACAGCGCTCAGGAAATGTACCAACGATGTGACTGCATGAGAGTCGGGGCTGCACGATGTAAGGAAAAAACACGCAAATACAATATTATTGAATATCGTGGTAAAAACATCAGTTATTAWAAACCCATAATTTTATTCTCTCAATTTTTTACGTTATGTCTTAGTATTTTAGGCACAATTATATAAATCTGATGAGGACACTAGAGTCAAAGATCTGAAAATATTAGAACACATAATTACGATAATATTAAATATCGTGATAACATCAGTTACGATAGGACTAAAAATTTATCACCTTTGTTTTCTTTTGGTATTTCCACTCTTTGTTTTAGTATTTCCATCATCTAAATTTGTTGTGGGCATAAAAGACAGTGGGAATTCATTTGAAAATATCCAAATAAACACAATCARGTATCACGATAATATTGAATATCGCGATAAATGTTTGAGTTGCGATAAAGCCACAATTCACTCAACTTTTTTGCTATACCTACATTTTTTGTTTTAGCACTTTAGCCACAATTAATTTAACTTTGATGTCAACATTAAAGGTGCTGAGAGTTTGTCTGAAAATATTAGAGTAGAAAATTGCGATAATATTGAATATCGCGATAAAAGTATCAGCTGCCATAAACCCACAAATTTATTCGCRCCTTGTTGTTTGGTGTACCTACATTTTGTGTTTTAGCACTTTAGCCATAATTAATTATGATGCGGATAACAGAGGCAGGACCATTGGAAAATATTAGAATAACCACTAAATCACAATAAAACTGAGTATCACGATTAACAGCATCAGTTGCAATAAACCCARAATTTTATGATGCTTTTTTCCTTTGCTATGTCTTTTTATTTTAGCCAGAATTATCTAAATCTGGTGTAGATGTGAAAGACAGTGGGAGTTCAACTGAAAATACTAGAACACAAAATTCTGATAATATTGAATAACGCGATAATAGTATCAGTTGCAATAAACCCACATTTTTTTGTGACCACTGTTTTTGATGTGACCAAATTTCCCTCTGGGATCAATAAAGTATTTTTGAATTGAATTTAATTTCTTATGTCTGTTAGCCACAATTATCTAAATTTGATATGGACTTAAAAGGAAGTGGGAATTCAACCTAAAATACTAGAAGCACAAAATCACGATAATATTGCATATTGCGATAACAGTATCAGTTCTGATAAACCCACTATTTTGTTTTGTCCTTTTTATGTTWTTTTTTAGTATTTTGGCCGCAATTATTTAAAACTGATGTGGACCAAAGAAAAAAAAGGAAGTGGGAATTAATCAAAAAATTACAGTAATACTAAATATTGCAATAACAGTTGGTTGGGATAACTAGAATCACTACTGTGGCATCAGGAGCAGTGGGACTACATCTGATTATTAAGCATATCAGTWTAGAAACTTATTCCAATCCTTTGTGATACACCGATAACGACAAATTTTTCACGTACATAGCACAGCCCCTTTAGGAACAAACAAAAACAAAATAACAGGAAAGATTTGTACTTATACACCAAGAATGAAGGCTGGGAGATCCTTCCGAAGGCTGTAGGCGCAGCGATGAGCTCGAAAACGTAGAGCTGCTGTGATAAAAAAGCGAGGCGTTAGCTTGCTTTGTGCTATGCACAGGTTTTGTCCAACAGTGAGTAAACAGCTGATATGAAAAGTTTTTTTTGTAATTAAAGTTTTCAGTAAGGCCACATCAAATTGAAAAAATGTCCATTTTTCTTTCTCTTTCCTTTTTTTTTTTTGGGAAAACCACCAGAACACACTGGAAGACACCTGGCTAGGTGCAGTTTGAGACGACTTTCACAACGTTTGACAGCAGTGAGCAACAGATAGAAGATACTAGATGTGGGACTTGTTGAACTGTGTACACAGTAAGAATATACAGTACTAAGGCTAACTGTTTAAGTCTACGCTTATTACATGAGTTTGAAAATGACTAATTCTTTCTGTAACCTTGAAAGTCTTGTTATTTTTCTCCTCCCCACGTTTTCTGCAAACGTTTCTATGGCTCCGGGTGAGATGTACGGATGTGTGTACTTTCCTGGAGACGCAGCACACATAAGAGTGAGTATTGCAGGCAAGGCAGAGGCGTTGCTTAAAGCTTTTCTTATTAAAGACTTCATAAAAACCAATGATAATAAAAAATAGGCCCTCTGAGGTTATTTCCCCCCAATTGAAACAAAACAGAAACAAAACAACCTTCTCACATGTAAATAAACAACCAAGACTTCAGGTTAACCCCCCAAAAAAAGAAGACGCTAGAGTATCAAAACAAGACTGAAAAGCAGGCATTTGTAGTAAGGTCACATTGACGTATAAATTTTGGACCTCGAACGGGGGAAGAAAAAAGTAAAGCCCAAGCTCAGAGGAAGAATAGAAACTATTTGGTAACAAAAGTGTACTATATGTTTAATACAAAAAAAGGTATGGAGAAAAATGTACCTTTACTAAAGCTTATACAAGATCCTTGGTCCATAAAAACTATGTTATCATCACGTTTTTTTCTGTGTGTCCCTCTGGCACTCCCTTCAACAACAATACATCCAGCCCTCCGTTTGGATTCCACACGAAAACGAGAGGAGTTATGAATATAAAACCAGGAGATGAAAGGTTCAGGGTGGGGAGCAGGAAATAAGATTTTCCTTTGGAGCCTTTTTGTTCCGTTGCGTCCACGTTGGATGTATTGTTGTTGTGGTTTGTCACAGCTGAAGGAAGGTGCTGGTGCTCTGAGCCTGCAGGAACTTCACTGATTCCAAACACCAGGACCACGATGGCAGGTCCCTAAAGTAACCACAGGAGAGAGGAAGAGGAGGAGGCGGCGGGGAGGGYGAGGGACACAGGTCAAGGAGCTTCTCTCTGCTTATTGGCTGAGACATATGTGATGTCACTCCTTCAAATGTCCCCTACTCCTTCATCCCCGCTGGACTTTGTTTTTTGTTTCCGTTTCCTCTTTCTGTTTGTTTCCAGAATGAATATGCAGCACTTCAGAGTGAGTCAGTTTTTTTTTTTGTTTCCTATAGTCTGCGTACACCTCGAGGTATAGCCGCGCTCGAGGCGTACTGCGATGAGGCCCCCTCCAGCTGCGTGCGTTAGGACACCACGGCGGCGGCGGTGGAGGAAGAAGACGTGACGCCTCCGGCGCCGGCGGTGCTGTTGGGGCCGTAGACGCTGGTTTCGGCCTCCTGGCTGCTGTTGCTGTGCAGGCTGGAGTTTCCGGCTCGCAGGATGGCGCCGGCCGCGCTGCAGTGCGGCCTCGGCCCCGGCTCCGGCGTGTAGGTGAAGGTCAGCGTGGTGGAGTAGATGATGCCGTCGTTCCGGACCAGGGTGACGGGCACCTGGACGGGCTGCCGCACCCAGCGCCAGCCCTCTCTGAAGGCGGAGATGTCGGGAACCACGCACAACATGCTCTCTGCGCACCTGAGGAGGTGGAGGGGGGCGGGGTTTACATGCAGACGTGACAGAAAGCAGGTTAAGACTCATTATTTAAAATCAGACACATTTTGGCCTCAGATTAGAAAGACTGATAGTGTTTCTGTTAAAATGTTATTAGTTGTAGACGTAAGTCTAATAATTACTTCTCTTTATTTATAAAGCCAACCAAAGTGCTGCACAACACAACAAAACAAGTAATGTCTAACTCAACAGAAGCTGTGTTTCCATTGACCATGAAAACGCGCAAATTAGAATTTTGAAAATAAATTTGTTCAATGGAAACACGTCAATTTCGAAAAAAATATATATACATTTTTCAACAAAATGTTTTTGKGCAAGGATGAGGTGATTTTTCGGCCAGATCGAAATTGGTGTGTTTTGCAAAACTGCAATGGAAACAGTTTTTTCACATCACAGGAGTCACATGATCAAGAACCGGCTGTTTCTACTGGCGAAAAAGACAATGAAGAAGATAACAGGAAGTAAAAGTAGTAGTGAAATCACCGACTACATTTTCCCAAAAACGCAGCATACGTTGCCACTCCCAAYTATAAGGGGCMTGTCACTGGAAAACCTTGATAAGATGCCAACATGTCCTCTGATGGCTGATGATGAGCGCTAGTGTTGTGGTATCAATATGCTATGTGTTTAKATCCATCYCRGCCATGTTTGTAATGACTTATCGCGAGAACAAGCGTATTCGCGCGACTTTAACAGCATTTCTTACTTCATGGAAACACRGCAATTGCAAAACTGTGTTTTTCCGACATTAACAGAATATCGACAAAGTTTTGCGCACATTTGCAATGAAAACACAGCTGCTGATACAAATAAGAAACAATTAGGCTGGCTAGAAAAACAAAATTAAAACACTTGTAGGTTAAAATCAACTCACTGGGCTGAAGGCCAGGGAGTAAAAGTGTCTTTTGTCATTGAAATCCAGTGGTTCACAAGATATTTTGCTAACAGGGTTGATGTCAACAGATCAAACAAGCAGTCCTTAAAACTTAACACTTTTACAACTAGTTTTATTTACAACCCAAATTCTGAAATAAATAAATAAATAACAATAAATTATATGGAACTAATGAACCCCCATACKATCAGAGAGGCAGAGTTTTATAGATGTGATAACAGGTTGACTGGTCTCTCAGATTCCTCCAGCCTCTTCGTATATTTTAATGATTTTATGAACTGTAGGTTCCCAGCGTATTTTCATAAAAGCCCCCATTTATTCCTTCCAAGCCAAACTTAGCCACGCCCCCTTCATCCCTCACTACTCCCCGCGTCTCTCAAAGACACGTTCAACCTTTATCTCTTTATCAAAAATAATAAAAATAAATAAAGGTATTGGTTACAAACTTAAATGGTAATAGAGTTTTAATTATTCAAATGCTTTTATAACAACTGTAAATTTATATTTTCACAACATCTGAGCAGATGAGGCTACGCTGCGGTTTTATTGTCTTTTTTGTAAACAGCACCTCATTCTCTAGTTTCTTTGCACAACTTGGAAACTATTTGCAACAAAACATTTCTAAAAGAAACTTTTTCACTTTAGAGTTTTATTTTTCTTTGCTCCATGTTTAAAAGGTAAAACACACAAACAGTGACAGAACTCCAGTCATGCCAGAGCAAATCCACACCAGCCAACTGTCTCAACATCTGTACAGATGTGACACAAGTTCAATAGGCAACAAACTGGAACATGTAAAAACAAATCAGTCTGTAAACTCTGTATCTATAAATGTGGAGAGCTGGAGAGAGAAAAAAGTATTTTTTACAAGATTTTAAATAAATATCTTTAAGGCTTGCTCGTTTAATTAGTCCCCAGCTGGCATAATGAACAAACTGACTCATGTAATTTAGCATCAACTATGTAACGAGAGCTGAGATCAGACGCTTTTTTATGAGAAAACTGGACTGAAGTAACATCTGCCAGAAAGCATTTAGAGACTTTAATAGCACTAATATATTCATGTCGCTGTTCTAATGATTAAAAAAATAAAAAGATCACAATTGGTGTTATTAAGAAATACATGTCTTTAAAAGAATTAAAAGAACATTAGGGCTGATTTTCGTTTAGTAGAAAGCAGGAGGAAAACGAGAAAGAAAAGTGGCAAAACTGCCTCTAATATTAAATTTGTGACTCACCTGTACATGGTCTCTGCCTCGACGTCTCCAAACCAAACCCGCAGGTTTGGAATGAAGTTCTGTCCCGTCAGCTCCAGCATGGCGACGTCCCCTCCTCCGTTCAGCTGCAGACGGGAAGTAAAGGTTCAAACATAAACTGACACAGAGGAGGGGGGGTTAAGGTTCACAACAAGCTCTCAGGTCTACCTGTAAGCTCTCGACCACAGGCACGGGCGTGACGGGCGACAGGACGGGGCCCATGCCCTCGTAGAAAGTGTACTCAGCCTTGTCTGTGCTGATGATTGTCCAGGAGGCGCCGTCGTTGATCATCTCCTTGTTTGGTTCCTTTGGGCATGGAGTGGCCTGGAGCAGAGGGCGGAGACAAGAGAGGAGTAAGTATGTATGTTCCAGYCACATAGTTCTACACCACAATCTAGTTACTATGTTACCTTCAGTTGTTCTGACAAAGCTGTGTATATCTAAATACCTTGAAATTCACCTCTGTCTTTTTAAGAGCCTCCTACCGTTTCTGACACCCCTATTTCAGCACGTCTTCAAACAATGCTTCATGCTATTTACAACCTTTCATAGGAGCGTGGTATTTTGTTGTAAAAGAAGAAACATTATACATTATCGTTTTTTGGAACAAAGCAACTTGGGCTACGGTTACTAACGATCCTACATTGTACAGAGGTTCTTACAAGACGTTTCAGTTTGGTAATACATACACCTCCCAGTCAAACGGCAATATTAAGCTACTTATTGCATGGCAGCCATGGAAGTCCTACTGGACCTGACTCCACTAGATTTACATGTCTTAGTGGAGGCCGCATCTAGTGCAGTAAGGCTACGCCAGTCTGGTAGGTGGAAAAACCTATCTGACTCGCAGCACTGGGACTGGGCAGTTGCTGCTGTTCCAGTAACTGCAGGACCTGGAGACAGAATGGTCAAAAAATACWATTTTGAGCCAAGTTTTAAGACAGAGATGGAAGACAGGTCTGTCTGGATTAACCTCTCTACGACGGACATGTCTCCCAATCATTTCTACTGTTTTACAGATGGGTCCCTTCTGAAGGGGTCAGTAGGTGCAGGGGTGCTGATTTTGCACAACCATAGTAAGAGAGAGCATAAATACCCACTAGGTTGTTTTGCAGCTGTATCTCAAGCTGAGATATATGCAATCCARRAGTGTGTGGCATCTCTCAAKGACCTTCAGTGTACACAGAAGGTAATATTCATCCTAACAGATAGCCAAGCTGCTATTAAAGCTCTCCYAGGGCCACACTTTACATCATTACTGGCTTGGGAGTSTCAACCAACTGGGGAGAGATAACAGTGTTACTGGTAAATGGGTACCAGGARATACTGGCATCTATGGTAACGAGAGAGRTGACTACCTCACAAAAGCTGGCAGTCAGGCTCACTTCAAWMYACCAGAGCCTGTTGTAGGTARCTCAACAACAGTCTGTAGGACTGCCCTACAGGCCTGGATTAGACGTTAACACTTAATCCCCTGGAGGGAGCTGATGGACTGTAGACAGGCACGAGAACTGATTAACGGCCCAAATCTAAGGTTTGGGAAAGCTCTCATCTACCTGGCAAGAAAAACTCTAAGTACACTGGTTGGAGTCCTACGGGCACAGTCTGCTCAACCGCCACACAATGGTGATGGGACTCCATGAAAATGGTCTGTGTGATGCCTGTGGCATTAAATTAGAGACCTCTTTGCACTACTTAGGCCAATGCTTGGCCCAGAGTGGTCAAAGGAAAATAATTCTTGGGGYCCCCTTTATGGATCCTGAGAAGCTSAGAACARTGAGTGTTTCTAACCTTGTGTCCTTCATCAGAGGGACGAGAAGGTTTGAATGAAGACCAGTGTCTTTTTGGGGAGAGCAATGAGCCCACTTAGGAGGCCTCCACTCATATGGATTTTATATCCATCCCCACTAACCATAATCATATCGCAAAGGAACTATAAATATAAATCATTATAAAGATATATTTTCCAGTGAAATCATGAACATCTACTATTTTTAAGCTATATTTTGCTGGTCTGGTGGAGCTGAGTGGGGCAGGGGTGCTCAGTTGGGTAACGTTTATTTACTTACAACTGCCTAATATTAAAAACATGTTCAACTAGCACCACATTAAATGGTCTGATAATGACAGAGGTAAACTTCCGTTCTGAGAAAAATAAAACGGACAGTTTTCCTGTATATGGAGTATAAAATGAAAATAGCACAACCATCCGTTTTTCGATATCATCAAAAAGTACACGAATCATTTCTGATAGTTTCATTGAACTTCAGCTCTTGGTTCGTGAGCGACTGTAATCTCAATCTGCAGATGAAGGTACTGACTTGAAACTGGATGATCCTTTCTTGGGAAAGGCACAGGTACATGCGCTCTGTGTCCTTCAGGTAGAAGGCACATTTATGGAGCTGGGAGACCGGGTCATCTGCATCGAGCAGCGCCGTCTGCTTGTCCACTTTACGAATAATCTGAAAAAAAAAAAAAAAATACAAGGAGCCAGATTAGAAAAACACAAAAGGAAAAGCAGAACAAGCTGTTCTGAAGACAAGAAAATGGAAATCAAATTAGGAGAAAATAATGCAGTGATTTGGATTTAGGTCAGAACAAATTGAAGCGGAATAAAAAGGGACATAAATAGACGGAAGAAAAGACGAAATGTCTCTGGGTGCTCAGAAAAACATGAGTCATTGTGTGACTAAAAGAACACAGAGTCATGTGTTGGGAAATGAACATTGAATTACATTTTTATGTCATTCTATCTTAATCATTAATAATAATTTAAAAAACTAAATAAATACCTCATTTGATCCCTGCATACAAATAAGAAGATTCACTCAGATTATATAAAAAAATAGAAACATTTGGATTTAGTTCAGTCCATATGTAGACAAGCGATGAGTTTGTAAATTATTTGAGCTGAAAAGGAGTTTAGAACAAGAACCAGATGGGGCACGAGCAGAAAGATGGTGTTATCAGGCAGTTGCTGGAGTGAAAGTTGTTTCGAGTTGTAGAGAAAGACAGCACTACCAGCACTTTAGAGTTTGATAGGTTTTTCTTTTATTTCCACCACTCGACATGGGTACTTTATTTATTTTTCCTCCTAGTGACTGTATGAGAAACGTGTGTTAACAAAAACATTGGTCACAATTAATTGGGGCACGTCCTGGTCACAAGACCACTTGAAATCACTCTAATAGGAAAGACAAGCTCTCTCTTTAGAATCAGTTATAATTTGTGTCAAAACTACAGATTTCAAGCTGTTCACCAGACTGTAAATTGGGTTTATAGGCCAAGTGAAACCAGAGTTATGATAAATAATTTACGGCACTTAAAAGAAAAAAAAAGGTTGGTCATATTGCAGAAGGAAAGACTAGCAGAGTCATGGAGAAAAAAAATAAAATCACCTCTATCCACCCTCTGGTCTCACCCCCACCCCGCCGAATTAACATAAAAACCTCAAACTCCTTTCTGGCTGAGACCTGAAATTCTTTGACAAGAACCAAAAAAATCTACAAGAAGAAGAAAATAAAAAGACGCAAAAGTTAAATGAAGTCCAGTGACATCGGGACGGAGCAAGGAGATTTCAAAGACTAAACGAGGCGCATCACACCCCACTCTGACTGTTTATTTATTTATTTTTAAGTCTTTAACTACAGCTGTATTAAATCTCAAATCTGGGCTCTAATGATTTCCTGACCCTAAACGTGGGGCTGATGTTTACCAGTCTGGGCAGAGCCATGCCGGTGACGGAGCAAACCAGCTTGACTGTCTGTCCGTAGTGGATGTAACCGTCTCTCACAGTGAATTCTTCTCCTTCTGACTCCTCGTCATCCACTGCAAACACATTAAAAAATATAGAAATAAAAAAACTATCAGTGCTGAATCAGACCCATAGTCTCTTTATCTTTAATGAACGAGCTGCTGAACACCAAACAAAAGCTTTAAAAACTCCAACATGCAGTCAGCGTCTGCCCGTGCTTGAAGCTTTTCACTGCTGCTCCGAGCAGAAACCTGTTCCAGGGACTCACAGAGGTGGATGAAAAACGCGCCCCACTGCTGGGAGCTGGCGTGGAAGTTGCCGCCCTCCACGTGGAGGTAACGTGTGCTGACTGTTTGGGAGCGCAGTCGGTTGAACAGTGCCACCTTGGTCCCTGATGCGATGCACACTGAGGACAGAAACGCAGAGGCAAATTATTCCATGAAGACAGTGATGAGAGGTAAACTAACAGCAGCCCTGACACGTTACATCACTCTGTTGGTGGACCGTCAGAGTGTGCTACTCCTCTGCCCCCTAGTGGCTGAAAAATGGCTTTTGAACACAGAATGATCGACAGCAGAAAAATTACTATTAWAAGAGTATGCGGCTTTTTTTAAATAAAAATGTCTGCAATTAAACTAGCATTAATTGAATCTTATATATGTCACTTAAATAACTTTTTTTATTCTTATATACTGTATATGTATGGGTATAAGGCACGAATTGTTACTAAACCTTTATTGTTTTTCTTTAATTTTTTGTACGTTGTAATGTGATTTTTTGATTGAAGTTATTTATTTGAGAAAAAGGGGCAGAAATCACAAGATGTTTTTCTTCTTCTGCTACCTTTCATTTAATTTATGATTTTTTTTGTATGTTGAATTTATGTCGTTTTGTNAACACCAGTACCTTTTAGTGTTTCAGAATTTTATTTTTATACACCGTTATTTTTTTGTGTTTGTTGATTTATTTATTTTAGTAGGTTTCAAAGATTGTTCCTGTAGTTTGTACAAAGTTATCAGCAGCAGTGCTGATATCTTGTGCTGACACAGTAGGAGGATAAACTGTAGTCTGTCCTGTTCTTGGCTCCGAACAGAGAAGACTATAAAATTATATTTCCCAATAAGTCAATAAAAACAGCAACGCAGACCTCCCAGCTCAACCAGCAGCAGAAGAAAAGTTATCTCAGTGTTCCCTGGGACTGGCACGTCTCTGCTCTCCTCTTGTCTTTGTCTGTCAAGCTAATTCAGCCTCTCGTTAACAACACTTCTATAGCCAATTACCATAAATCCCTGTTAGCTGCTGCAATTAACAGTAACGAGGCAGCGCTGCATGTGTTTCTACTGTTGTAATTAAGCCAGTGTGCTGTTAATTAGCAGAATGTGAGTGGGAGGTTTTATGCTCGTTAGTATGTCCATTTCATTCAATTAGCACCGTCATTAATGAGGTGTCTCTGTTCTAACAAAGTTAATGCAGAGAGGAGGCGGCAACTGGGCGATTAGCCTAGACAAACATGATGAGGAGCATGGCACAGAGCCCAGGAAACCATTACTGGAGACAGGGTCTGTGGGGGGGCGGGGGTGCATATGTGTGTGTGTGTGTGTGTGTGTGTGTGTGTGTGTGTGTGTGT